CCTGGGCGAGCCCGCCCTGGCGGCCTCACTTTAACGTCCCCTCCTCTTTGAGCACAGGCGCACTCTGTGGTCGCCGGGTCAGGATTTCCCCGAGTGACCTGTGGAGAGCGTGGCTCAGTCCACGGCGTGACTGTGCTGCTCGCTACTCCCGAGCGGCGGTCGGGCAGCCGGAGCCATGGGGGAAGGAACGTTCTCCGGCCCTGGGACCGGCATTGGCCGCCCGCGCCTGACGCCCACCCTGAGCAGGACGCTGCGGGCCCCACGGCGGCAGCCACGCCCATCAGAGGCCTCGGGGTCTGCCTGTCTTCTCTCGGCTCACAGGGCGCTTCCTGTGCCGGGTCCTCCTTGCTGCCGCCCACCGCGGCCCCCAGCCCCGGCGGCATCCTCGGGGGCGTCTCCGCTTGCGGCTGGTGCTGCTGTGTTCCGCCCGTCTCCACGCTGGGGCCCGTCCAGTGGCGTCTCCGTCCCCCGGCACCGAGGCCCCGGCTGGAGGGCGCCCTGCCCACGCCAGGCAGGGACGGAGGGAGAAGCCGGAGCGGGAGGAGGACGTCGGGGCGGCGCACCTGGAAATCCGCAGCTTCCAGTGGCCACGGAAAACAGCAAAAAGAGACGGGTGACGTTCATGCTAATGCCACGTATTTTCTTTCCCTTAATAAACCGAATGTCAGGCCGGCGTAGGATCCGTACACAGGTCACCGGTGAGACAGTTTGCAGTGGTTTTCCTGGCACTGTGTCTTTCCGCTGGGGGTTTCTCTCGGGGGCCACCCGCGGCTGGGACCGCAGGACCCCGCGGCTCGGCGCCAAAGCCGCCAGGCCTGTGCCCGCTGTGCCGCCAGGCAGCACGTCCCAGGAACCCTTTCCTGGCGTTCCTCACCCGGTTCACGGCTCCGTCGGTGCGGCTCATCCGTTGCTGACGCGCAAACGCGCCCCGAGGAAGTCAGGAGAACATTGCAGATCCCCGACTCGGCTCATCCAGCCGCTCTGCGCGGCCTCTCTCGGGCAGACGAGTCGGTGTTGACGAAGAGGAGGAGGAGGAGGACGCCACTGGGGGACGGTGGCCTTGATGCACAAGAGGGACCCATCCGAGTTTGCCCCGCGTGTCCAGCCCCTGCCCCGCCCTGGCCTGCCCGGCAGCACCCCAAGCCCCCCCAGGCCCTGTAGCAACTCCGGGCCCCACCCGGGACGTCGGCACAGGCTCTAGACCCAGTGCCACGGCCAAACCCGCCCAGCCTCACTGCGTCTGTCCAGCTGTCTTGCCCTGACTTTTGTCTGGCGACGAGATGTGCCCACTCAAGTGCACAAGGGGGTCGGGCTCCCTCGGAGTCCAGATATCTGTGCATCAGCCGCTCGGGACTGAGAAACACGGTTTGAGTGTCTGTTCCCTCCTCCGTGCCTTTGTCCCCGTTTAAAAACTCCTCATCAGCCGCCTGCTCGGTGTGACTTGGTGCCGGACTCCCCAGGTGAAAATTCCAGCCCCACCACGAGCTGGTTAGGTGGCCCAGGGCCGGTCACGCCGCTTCCCCGAGCTCCAGCCACCACACCTGCTCAGCAGAGACGACGGCTGCTGGCAGGACAGGTGGGTGAGCCCGTGTGCGCCGCGTGCCTGGAGCACCCGAGCACACATCAAGCCGTGTGCCTTGTTTGCCGTCACTGTCACTAATGTTCCTCCTGCAGCGATTACTTTAAAAGAGAAAGGAGTCCCCGTACCTGTCCTCAAAACAGCTCGCCACCTAACGGAGGGACCAGCAGAGCCGTGAGCCCACGCTCAGGGCGGCGCCGGGGATGTGGAGGGTCGCCGGGCGCGCAGGTCCCCTGGGGCCGCATGGACGGCGGCTTCGCCCTCCGCAGTGTCACTCCAGGGAGGCTGCGGCCCCGACATCCTCCCCAGTTTCCCTGGGATCGAGACGAGCACAGACAAATGTTCGAATACTTGAGAAAAAATGATTAGTCTTTTTGGTGCTTCAGATGCACCTGATGCCTCGCATGCGGACCGCACCAAGGCCCGTGCGGCGGCCAGCACAGTGAGTGTCCCGCCTCCGGGGGTCTCCCGCTGGGTCCGCACCCACATTGAGTCGCCGCTGAGCCCCGCTCTGTCTCCAGAGACTCTGCAGACGCTATCACAGTGAAGCTTTGAGAAACGAGGCCGCTCGTTCGCCGGCACACAGAGGCACCGTCAGCGAGCAAACAGAGCCGTCCCCGTGGGCGGGAAATGCCTTTCCTTTCTGGACACCCGACAGCCCGGCAGTGGGGTGTCACCCACTTCTTCGCAGGACCGGTGACTATCTCGCGGCCGTTCCTCTGTGGAATCGTGAGCCCTGCAGCATGTCGTCCTCCCCGTAGGATGTCGTTCGGTCAGTCAACTTTTCTAGCAAGTTCTTTCCTTGTCGTGCCCCCCTTAGGAACCAGAAATGGCCGTGTTTCAGGCCGTCATGACTGCTGTCTGCAAGTCTGCCTGCCGCCCCCTCGGAAGCCAGGCCCGAGAGGGCATGGCCCGTGTGTCCAGCGGCAGACAGGCCTCGGCCCGCGGTGCTGGCGCAGCCGGGCGCTGGCGCACAGGGAGTGTTGGCAGGAGACGCGTCCCACCCACCAGTGTCCTCCGGCCCAGATGCAGGCCAGGCGTGCGGATGGTAGGACGCCCACCCTTGGCGTCCCCCAGCGTCCTCCGAGAGACCCCTTGAAACCCCACGCCCCCACTGTGGCTTTCCCCGCCCCGCGCTTTCGCCCGCGCCTGCTTGTCGGAGCGGACCACGCCACCGGACGCTTCACCGTAATACCGTGTTTCCCTGAAAATGAGACCTACCCATAACATAAGCCCTAGCAGGATGTCTAAGCATGTGCGCAATAGAAGCCGGTGGGACCAGCGCCCAGTGCGGAACCTGGCCAGTTGCCCCCGCGGTGGCGGCGCCATCTGGCAGCACTCTCCGCGTGGGGGGCGTGCTCTGTGTCCGCGTGTCCTCGAAGGGGGCCAACAGCACGTGAAATGGGGCTGGCACAACCAAAGGACTGAGTTGTTAATGGTGCTTGTTTCGCAATTTGGATTTGAGCGGCCCCCTGTCGTGGGGGCTCCCCCGTGGGACGGGCGTCTCTGCTGCAGGCCGGAGCTGGCCGCCCTCGTCTCTCCAGACCCCCAGGGGTCAGCTGCCTTGTGTCCATGAGAAGAGCTAGGCTGGTTCCCACAGTCGTGCGGTTCTGTGCAAAAGCTGATAGCGAGTTCGGAAGGTGAAATCCTGTGAGATGCACCCACGCACTTGTGAATGCCAAGACTGGAAGGCACGGCGCCCGTGTGCTGGGGACTACGGGCAACACGAGTGGGCACGCGTGCTCGTCTCGACTGGCAGGTGTGGTCTCCGAGCACGCGAGGGCGTGACGCCGCCCCGGAGTGCGCGGCCAGACTTCCATGACACACACACACACTCACACACACACACACACACACACACACGGCACACTCCGGCAGATGCTTCTGGGTGTACCGCACGCTCAGGAGTCTGCCCCGCGGGTTTGCTTTGTGCTTCTAACAAAATTCCAATGAACTCCTAAAAAGAGGAATAAAATAATACGGGAAGTTGCCCTTGCAAAGAGGCCTTTCGAAAATCTGTGAACAACGCACAACCTGGTTAGGGTTCTGGAAAGCCCGAAAGAGATCCACAGCTGACTTGGGGTTCCGGAAACCTCGTCTGTGTTTAAGGACGGAGAGCCTCTGTGTCCTGGCGGCCGGGCCAGCAGTTTACCAGGCTGGGAACGCCTTGGGAGTGCTGTGTGTCCAGGATTCGGAATGTCTCAGTGGCCCTAGAGAACAACCTGTGAGTTCACACCTGGTAGCAGGCCCGCCCTGTGCTGAGCCAGCCATGTTTTTGCTTTGGAGAGGAACTCAAAGACAAAGTCTCTCACGGTGCTTTGTGTGGGAAGCCTGCCCTGAGATCCCTTCTGATTTTTAGGGCATGTGGTTTCATCTGATAAACTGGAGCCCTAACACCTCCCTCAGTCCCAGTCGCTAGCAGGTACCCTGATGGGAAGGTAACTACTAAAGACAGAAGGTGTGATTAGCAAACAAGCCAGTCCCTCCCGCAGCCTTTATTAAGCAGGGTGTCGGGGTGGTTAGGAAGTGGCGCCCCAAGGCAGCGGGTGGGCTGGCCTGGCTGACTCTGTGAACAGGCACCTGCATGGGGCCCCCTTCCACCCCAGTCCCCCCACTCCAGTTCCCAGCATGTCCCCACGTCCCCACGTCCTGTGTCCTGGCTGCTCGGGGCACCAGGCCGAGGCCTCCACGCTGGGGGGCGGCTGAGGCTGGGCAGGGCTCCCAGTGCAGCTCCGGGCTCGGGGCAGGGAGGGTTCAGGCTTCGGCTTAGACCCTCCCCCCAGCCCCCGCGGCCACTCAGACCCACTCGAGACAGATTCTCCATCCTCTCACCTGCATCGTAGCTTTGATTAGGTTTGGGAGTTAATTACCAACTTAGTTTTTATCAGAAACGATGACTCAGTTTGCAAGCAGCTCACTCTAAACAGACTTTGGGAGCACAGAAGTCGCTAAATACACGTGCTTATTTAATGCCGGTTGTCGGGTGTAACTGATATATAGTTCCTCGTGTGGAATTATAGAAACAGCAGAAGATGCCCCTCTCCCCCGCCCGGCCGCACCCGGGGCCTGGGGGTGCTGACGGAGGAGGCCGAGTTCAGGAATAAGGGCCCTGCTTCTCCGAGGAGCGGACTAGCTTTTCACCCTGTGTTCAGCTGGGCCCACAAGACTTCCCTTTCTCATTTCTCACGTCACTGTGCAATCCTCCCCACCTGCCCCACCCCTCACCTGTAACTACGTCGTCTGGCTGTGGGATGTCACAGCTGGCAGGCCCGGGGAGACAGGGGTCTGGCCTGCCACCAAAGGCGGGACCCAAAACCCGCAGACGGGGGTTGTCTGGCTCAGTGGGATGTTGGAGGTGGGACAGGACCTGAGCCCCTGATGGGCACGCTCCGTGTGACACGGTTGCCGCGTTCGGGTCCGGATTCACATCTGATGAATGACCCCATACCTCGCGTGCAGGCACAGCAGGTGCCTTCTCACGAAGTGTGGGCGACTGGGACGGAGCGTCGCCGGGACAACGCTCCTGTTCCAGAGGGTGGAGGAGGTGAGCTCCTGGGAGAGGGAGGTACGGTCGGCGCCTTCCCGGGGCTGTTTCCCGTTTCCGGGAGGGCAGGCATGTCGCGGCGTGGTCAGCGTCTCTCACCACCACACGGTCTGTCGGCCTCACGTGTCCCTGTGCCCGTGCCCCCCCCAACCGCCACCTCTTATCCGGCGCCAGGTAATTTCAGAAATGCCACCACGTAACTGTATCCCTGAGGACAGGTTTATTTTAGGCTCTGAAAGTGGAAAGCATGGCTTTTCGTATAAAATATCTGTGCTTGTTTTATGATTGAAGGAAGAACTTTTTAAATATAGCCTTTAACAAAAGTCCTTTATGGTATTTTAAATTACATAAAACCTGAAAAATCCAGTTGTCGGAATGGAGACCCCTAAATTCAGCAAACCAGTTTTAAAAATTTAAATTTGAAAGCATGAGTTTTTGTATGCTGCAATACATTTGTGAAAAATTATCTCCCTGTAAATGTGGGTGGGTTGTCTATGGTGTGTGGTGTCGGGCGTGTGCATGTGGTTGTTACTGATGTGTGTGTGTGTCGTGGTGCGTGGTGCATGCGGTTGTCCGATGATGTTGTGCCTTGTGTGGTCGTGTGCATGTGTGGGCTGTGTGGTGTGGCTATCCACTGGTGTGTGCCTGCTGTGTGGTGTGTGCATCGTGGCTGCCACATGTGTGGTCCTGTGTGTCGGTGTGTGCTCTCTGTGTGTGTGTGCATGTGGCTGTCCACAGTGGCTGTTGCCTGTGTTTTTTGTGGTTTGTGCCATGTGTGTGTGTGGCATGTGGGTGTCATGATGTGTGTCCTGTTGGTGGTGTTGATGTGTTGTGGTGTGTGATGTGTGTGGTTGTGATGGGGTATCCATGGTTGTGCATTGTGTGTGGTGTGTGCATGTGGGCTGTCCATAGTGTGTGTGGTGTGTGCCTGTGTGTGTGGTGTGTGCCTGTGTGTGGTGTGTGCCTGTGTGTGTGGTGTGTGCCTGTGTGTGTGGTGTGTGCATGTGTGTGGTGTGTGCCTGTGTGTGTGGTGTGTGCCTGTGTGTGGTGTGTGCATGTGGGCTGTCCACAGTGTGTGTGTGCCTGTGTGTGGTGTGTGCATGTGGGTTGTCCATGATGTGTGTGCCTGTGTGTGTGGTGTGTGCATGTGTGTGGTATGTACATGTGAGCTGTCCACGGTGTGTGTGCCTGTGTGTGGTGTGTACATGTGGGCTGTCCACGGTGTTTGTGCCTGTGTGTGGTGTGTGAATGTGTGTGGTGCTGCTCTGGCCGCAGACCGTGTGGCTGAGGTGCCCGTGCAGCCTGCAGGGACCTCCTCACGCTCAGCCCGAGCTCTGCACTTGGATGATTCTTAGGTCTCATTCTCCTGACTGCAGTCTGGAGCTCGCATTAACTCAATTATCATATTTTTAAATGTAATTATCATATAGTTTTAGATAAAATTCATTATTGTGTTTCTGCAGCCTTTGATACTTGGAAAACAGAGTCCTTGTTTCGAGCATCCTCAATTATGCTTGAACACAAGCCACACGTAAGCAAACACGAATTGCAGGTAGATAAGTCAGGCAAGCTGTAATTGTATTAATCACCCATGCGGCTTTAGGATTACTGCCGCATAGATTGTTCACGGGTGTGTGTGCATTCGCACTCTGTGCTAGCTCATGATTGCATTAGGGCATGTATCAAAATACCAATGTCTAGGAACTTAAATGTGAAAGTCTCTCTCGGATGTTGTTTTCGAATGTGTTGGCAGAATTTGCCTCTTTTAGAAATCAGTTTAAGGGATGTCTCGTGAGCACACCCAGGCCCCGACTCCCTGCCCGTCCACGGGGCTGGAGTCACCACCCCGGCCTCTCTGTACCCCACGGGGGCTCTTCCCTCCCGTCACCCGCCCAGGGGACAGGGAGGTGTGTGGTCAGGCTTGAGACGCCCCAGGGCTCCTGCAGCGCAGGCAGAGCTCGGGGTGGTGGGAAGGGGGGCGCCTGCGGCGAGTGACACAGAGGAGGGCCTGGGCCACCCAGGGTCACGGCGGCTGGACGGCTGTTTTGGGAAAACCTGGCCTGCGTGGGCACGAGAGGAAGCGGTCTGCACGGAGCCTGCTTTGGGCAGCTGTGCGGGAAGCGTTGTCCGTGCGGAGCGGAGGGGTGCCGTGCAGCGTGCAGTCCGAACAGCGTGCTCTGTGTGGACGGGGTGCCGATGGCACTCTGCCGCCGATGCAAACCGCGGGAAGAGAGCAGGCGGTTCCCTGAGCCACATCTCCGAACTGCATGTAGCGAGCAGTGTGTCATCTTGCCTGCCACAGTGGTCACTTTGTTTTAAGGAGGAGGCCGACGTACTTGTCCCAACCTCAGGCATCGGAGGGCTGGGCACCGAGACTGACCCAGGACTCCGGGAGGCGCCGTCCCACCTCCGTCTGGGGGCGAAGGCCGCTCGCTCGTGGACACCCCGAGCAGGCCGCCATGGGGGCGCAGGGCCCGGCCGCACCGAGGCCACACCGGGGCTTCCACTGCAGCTAGAAGTCCCGGGCATGTCCCGCAAATCCCACGAAGGTTTGGGGATGTGAGCGTCCGGCTGTGCTGCGGCTGCCAGAGACACCCAGCGGGACAGCCGCCCTGGGCGGGCCGAGGGCCGTGGTGTCCCGCACGGAGGGCAGGTCGGCGGGCCGGGGCCTGGCCAGTTGTCTTGGGCCAGGGCGTCCCAGGCAAGCGCCGCAGCCCAGCACTCTCGCCGCGTTCGGGCTGTCAGACCAGAGAGGAAACATTCCCGGGAAGCGTGGCAGGCTGGTCCCTGCAGCCGGAGACACGCTGCAGCCTTCGGGAGTGCTGTCTGAGCCTCCTGCCGCCGCCCTAACAAACCGCTGCAAGCCGGAGCCGAACTCACAGTCCCTCCCTCCCTCCCGAACTCACAGTCCCTCCCGGCGCTGGAGGCCAGAAGGCCACGTTCACGGAGTGGGCAGGGCCGGTGGGCAGGGCCAGCCCCTCTGGAGGCTCCAGGAAGAATCCTTGCTGCCCCCTCCGGCTCCGGGAAGGACTCCTGCCCTGGGGCCACGGAGGTGGCCGGACACTTTACACCTGACAGCGGTCAGGGGCGGGTGACAGCCCTTTGTGAGTCACGTGGACTCACAGCCTGCGGGAGGAAGACACGCCTGCCGTGGGGGGCACACGGGGTCACCCAGGACTGGAATGAGACCCGGGGTGGGGGGCAGGGCTCTGCTTCTCCGGGAGGGTGGGGCGCTCCCTTCCCGTGGGAGGACGTGATGGGGCAGGGGCCACAGCCCGCCAGGCAGGCATGAGCATCTCTGTGCCTGGCCCTGTGGTGAGCAGGGGGTTGGGCCAGGGGGCCCGGTCCCAGGAGCAGAGTGGGAAGTCGAGGCACACGGACTCAGACCTTAATTTGAGGCCTTAGACCCAAACACACACACACCGGGAGGATCTGAGCTGCAGCCCCTTGACTCAATCACATCTGCGCGGGCACTGTGCCCAGTGGGGCCCCCTGCTGGGTACGAGGGTCAGGGCACACCTGGGCGGCAGGAGGGAGACACAATCTAACCCACTACGGGATCGTTGCCGATGGGAATATGAAATGTGGATTCGTAACGTTTTATTCAAGAGAAAAATATTTGTGCTGCTGATTAGTCCTTCTTATTACCATAAAAACAGTATCGTTTGCTTTAGAGAAATAAGACAGATAAGCACAAAAAAACATCCTTTTAATCTCCAATAATGGCGACATTAACCAATGCTAATGATTTGGAGCATTTCTAGAACCTTATAATCCGCATGTGGTTATTATTGTGTGCGTGTGTCGGGCCAGCATGACGTTTCACAGTTTTCTTTTCACTCGGGAGGGCTGTGAGCCTCGCCGTGAGACCGTGAAGAAGAGTGCTCGGTGTCCGGTGCGCCCCAATGTTGCCGTCCCCCCAAATCCGCGTGCTGGGGCCTGTGATGGGCATCTGTTCTTCTTGGTGGCAGTTTCGGTCTCGTGTTAAGGTGGCTCATTGCGCGTCTCAGAGTGACGTGACACGGTGTTTGGGGAGTGCTGCAGGGCCATGTGACGCTTCCTTCTGCTGAGCCGTGCTCGCGGCGTGGATTCCTTTCACGTGGCTGGAATGCAGAATGTGTAGTTTCTCTGCTTAGGAATGTTGTAGCGCGTGCCTTTCTTGCCAGCTCACCAACGTTTACAAGAAAATCAATGTTTTGTGTTTGTCCTTGAGCATGTAATAATGTGAATTAAACTCTAAACACTAGGAGAATGAATGCGACTTTTTTTAAAAGCCATAATTCCCTTAGCTATCGAAACAAACATTTTTTCATGTGCAACTCCGGGAGACCCATTCGATCTGCATTTTTTTTTTTTCTGGATAACGTAGTTGTCATGTGACTGCCTAGATGAGTGAATACTCCACGGAGGTTTTCTCAGAATCATCGTATGGCTCGTGTCTTCTTGTAACATCTTCCGCCTGATTTATTATCGCTATGAACAGGAGGAGGTCTGGGGCCTAAAATAACAAAATTCCTTCTGCGTGTGCATTTGCAGAGAGGATTATGTCAGACTCTCATGAAAGAGGGAATTGATCTTGATTGGTCTTGGTAATCGGCACGGTGACATTCGTACGCATGAACTCCTTGAACTCCAGCCAGGTTCCCACAAAGTCCAGGTGAGTGCTTTGCCGTTGAGGCGGGCAGAAACGAGCCTCACTGGTCCACGTCGCCAGCTCTGAGGACAGGGTGGAGCAGATTTGCTGTCCGTGACCTCCCGATCGCAGGGACGGCACAACCCGC